ATGTGACTAGGAGAATACAAGTTGACTACTGATGATACGCAATTTCATCGGGATTTACCATGGCAGTCTAAATCGACTATATTAATGTAAGTATCTTTCTTTCTATGTTTTCTCTTGAGCCAGTAAAACACTTGTTGGTTGAGTTTTGTATTGCCTTGAGGAGTTTACTAGGTAATAAGGTGGTCTCATGCTGAAAAACTGTCCTCCTCATTCTATCTTGAAACCTCTTCATGTTTTCCAGTACAATTACCTGTGAACTGGGGGGAAATATTGTGACCTGGGAATTTAGGAGATTCAGTATGCAGTCGGCTGTATTTTGTACGTTTGTTAGATGACTGTTGATTTTCATTCACTACTTGAGGTGTAATATTTATTGCTGTGAACAGCTATTTTTCTTCAGCATGAATAGTCCATGAATGCATTTTTTTTAAAATCTTTTTAGTTTTATTAGTTTTTTTTTTTCTGTTTTTAAGTGTTGCCGGTCACCTACTGTATTATAACTGATACACAATTCATTCTCGAGAGAACGCACTGAGGTCCTTGTCACCTACAGTGCTTTAGAACATTGTGAGAATCGTAACTTGAAATGCTCTGGCATGTGCAGATTTGGGGAGGATTGAGTGTAAGTGAGAGGTTCCAGGTTCAAGCTCTCCCACTTACACTTAAAATAAACAAAAAAAAAGAGTTATAGATGCTCCAATTCATATGCAACTCTGTGCCATGATTACAGTTTTTGTGCATTTGAGCGAACATGTTTATGGTGACTAGTTTCTACGCAATTAGCTGCATCAGCTGCAAATTACACGTACAGGATTTAGATTCTATTGATTTTTCATGGCTTCTTTGGCCAAACTTGTCTTGTTTGTGCTTTTTTCTTTACTATGTGTATATCAAGGGTAGTGAAAAATTCTGCAGAACTACATGTCAACCGTCACTGTTCATCCAGAGGTTATTGATGGGAGGCCAGGGACATTGGTTATTGAATCATTTGTGGTGGACGTGCCAGAGGGAAATACCAAGGATGAAACATGTTTTTTTGTTGAGGCTCTAATAAAGTGTAACCTCAAGTCACTTGCTGATGTCTCAGAGCGCCTAGCTGTGCAGGATAGAGTTGAGCCACTTAACAGAGATTGAGACATGAAAGAGGTACACTTGATTTGCAGCTTCAGATATCCAATTATCATCATTGAAGTACAAGATTTTTCATTTCAATGACTAGAAAGAGCGGCATCTTGCCAATCCTCAATCTTTGAAGGATATGCAACTGCATAACCTAATCATTTGATGGCGTATGCTTGCTCTTTAGCGTCTCACGTCCCATCAGACTTTTAAACCATAAGTCTAGCATGTTATTCTCGAGTTTGGCTTGTAAATATATTTGCCTTTTAAGTGTTGTGTAATTCCAGGTGCATGTAATGCTTGGCTAAGGACATATTCTCTGGGTTTTCCTTCATATTGTCATATTATACTGTGAAGATGTTTGTACTGGATAGGTGATATGCCATGATAGATTAATAGTTGCATTCCTAGAATACATCCCGTTGTACCATTTCTTTTTAAAGAAAAAAAATAGGATACTCTTTTTGTTTACTGGAAATTATATTGATTTAAGCTTGACTTTTAAATGCTAAATTCTGCCTGCTTTTCACTAGAGGGTTGTCAACTCGTGTTTTGAGTTCTATACTATTCTTGCAGCGATTCATACCTGAATTGCTTGTGTAGCTTTCCTAGTTTTATGGATGAGCCAGTTGATGAATGTGCAATTTTAACTGTAATTTTCTATTGTGACCTTGCATGAATATCCAATGAATTGCCATCGGTAGTGGAATTTAGGAAGGAAAGTATATAGATACTGTTCTTTGTTGTGGACTGGACCTTGCTGGTAATGAATCAGTATAAAATATTAAAGGTGTCTTTGCAATAGAAGTGGTGTCATGGAGAAGATAGAGCATGGGCAGATTCTTATGGAGAATATGGGATCCATGTAGCTTGGGAAACTGAAAGCAGAGATTCAATGAACTTTCTCTGATTCGTGACCTAGGAGAAGTGTTGTGCTATTAGCTTTATTCTTCATGTTCCCATTACTTATCTGTAGCTTTATGTAAAGCTGTGAAGCCTGTTCAACCGGCCAAACGATTAGAAAAAAAAAGTAAAAATGTGGTCAGTTATTGGTAAAGAGAGCGCAAGGAGGACAAACACGTTGCATGCTGAATCTGGAAAAGGTCTGGTTGGAGAATCAGCGCATGGTTGAGCATTTGGGTGAGCTGGCCATGGCCTAGTGGCTAGTGGTGAGTGGTGACTTGAGTGATGAGTGGGTACTTAATCCCTACCCAATACCTCCACAAGGCAATAGGGTCTGCATTTAGATCAGGGGCCTTGAGGGCCGACAAAATATTTATGTGTTGCTAGCTCCTCGCCCACCTCTCTCATCCACACACAAGAAATGATGGACCAAATGAACAAACGGGAGGGGGTGCCTTGAGCCCAAGAGGACCACTTTTTCACAAAATTTCAGCTGGAAAATTGCCTTGCAACTAGAGCAATTAATAGGACTTGTTAAGGGTGGTTCTTGAGGAATGCAACTTGCGAGTACTATTCTAGGTTCCACCATTGTCTGTCAGCTTTTTTAAAGTTGTGTTTAGATTGTATAATTTTTTGGAGTTTTTTTTTAAAAAGGTATTATAGCGATTTGATGAATGAGGTAAAAAGATGATTCGGAAATGTGATCACAAAAACGAGTAGATTTTTTTTTTTTGATAAAAAATTCCTTTCAAAACAAGGCCAGAGTTTCCTCTAGAGTCATATTGATGATTTAGTGGTCGTGGGGTCTAGCTGTGGTGTATGCATGGCTGATTCTATGATTCTGCTAGTACCGGGTCCCTGTAACGTACAAAACTTGAAGTAGTGTTTCAACTTTCCCCATAATTAATTATCAAAAAAAAAAAAAAAACTTTCCCCATAATTAAGGTTCGTGGCCCAAGTTGTGGTTAATTCCTTTAAAAAGTTTGTCAACATCATTACAAAAATTTCGCCAACATCATTACAAAAATTTCGCCAACATCAAAGGGTGCTCAACATTTCATGTTGTTTACCTTTTACTGAGAACCTTTTTAAAAAAAAAAAAAAAAAATCCTACTACCTTTTTTGAGACTTATTCTGTTTGATAATTTAATTCAGTATTTAAATTTAATGGGTTTAAATTTTAATATGTTCAGACATATTTGATAATCAAGATAAATTTGAACATTTAAATTAATTAAGTGGCATTGAATGTTCTAAACAAAATTTGTGCTAAAAAATGAGTGATGATTTATTTATTTATCGTTTAATGTGATATATATATATTTAAATGTAACAAATTTAGTACTTAATAATTTAATAAATTTCAATTTTAGATTTCGATTTTCAAATTTCGATTATATCAAACGTACCCTACTTGACTCGATAACAAATCTAGCAATTAGCACAATGCCAAGGATCTGTTATCGTTTGGGAAAAAAAAAAAAAAAAATTAGCACAATGCCAAGGACCAACCAAAGGCCCAAAAGGGACAAGAAAAGAGAGACGGAATTGGGTTTGGGGTGTAAACGGAAAGCTCTTGCTTGCAACTTGCAGTATCAGGGCATCCCCGAGAATGATCTATCAAGTAATGGTGGCCTAATTCCTGAAACACGTGCCTGCCTACATGACATTTCTGCTCATCAACAGATCAGCCCCCTTGGCCAAACTAAAATATGCTTCTCAATTTACTACTGCCACGTCAGTACCCGATCCAGCATGGAGCCATTAACTTCCTGTTTTGTATTGCGATCTTAGTTGTGAGTTACGACTTATGCTGTTTTTTTTTTTTTTTTTTACGAGGAGTTATGCTGTTTAAGCTCACTCTGAAAAATTCTTAATAGCAGGGAACAAGAAAAACAAAACCACCGTGAGCCCGTGACCGGGAAATCTGTTGATGTACCTAAAAGCAAGGGACTGTCTACTCCTAATGGTATTATAAACAAATGATAATGGTCTGTAAAGACCAATGCTATCGCAAAATCCAATCCAGGTTCCGCCTTGAATTCCTCTTCCAACAGTTTTAAATTTATGCTAAATTGCTAATACAACAACCAAGTTTGACGGGCCTCTCCTCTCGGGCCGGAGTGGGATTAGTCGGGCCCCGTAAGGATTGACCAGGACACCCACTCCGTCAGGAAAAAAAAAAAAAACAACCAAGTTTGATGTTTATTTGCTACACGGTCTGATTGAACCACAAATTGAAAGTAACGAGATCTTGGGTTACTTAATACTTGCTGTTTATTTTCTTAGTGTTTTATATGCACAAAATTTCTAAATTTTGTAAGCATTTTAGAAGTGAATTTCATTTTACTTACTTTCATTTCCGAACTTTCGGTCACAAGTAATAAGACTAATGCAAGGCAATTAGTTTTTGAGTTTGGTATTTGGGCACTTCTTAAGAGACATTTTCAAGTGCTAAACTTTTTTTTTTACGTAAACAAAATAATTTTGAAAAGATGTCATGAAATAAATGTGAACGTATGCACTAGAAGTTATGCTTGATATAGGTATGTTGAGGGACGATTGACTGACGAGTGTTCAACTAGCATCATCCGTTAAAAATAATTCATAAAATTTTATTGAAAAACATCCTTTTAAAGATTTTAGAGAAATAAACTGCGTCATCTCAACAATAACAGAACATCTCAACCTAGAAATGTCTTAAACAAACATTACCCTTTGAATGGGACAGTAAAGCCATTATACATATCAATTCTCGTCTTTGAAATGCAACTTTTGACATCTATATCAATTGCAACTTTTGACAAGTTTTATGCTTTAATGTCGTAGAATTTGGTAAATGAAGCGGAATAAAGGGTAATGAAATTGAAAGGTTACTCGGAAGAGGCGGTTACAATCAATAGCAAAAGGCAATTATAACCCTGAGCGTGTGTTTGGAATAATTATTGTAGCATTTTGTGATGTGATATATCATATATGTGAAAAAGGCTGAAAAGAATATATGGCAAAATACAAAATACTAATCAAAATGCCCAGACATCCGTGTCCCTCCTTAGCTGGCGATTCGCATTAGCACCATATATTATCAGTCGGAATTTGCGCTCCCCTCAAAAGACGAATTACTTCTAGACAAGTAGAAGCTTTGGTTTTGCTTCTTCAGAGCCACTGCCTTCATCGGCTTCGGATGATTTCTTCAGGTGCTCTTTTGTTCCCCTTTAAAGGTTCATTTTTGTTCATTTCCGTAAGGTTCAGCTTAATCTTTCCTGGGTAAGATTCTTTATTGACAAATTTCCCAGCATCCATTTTCAGCTTTCTCGGTCGTGATTTGTTCTTTTGGAGCTTTCTGTTTGGAATGCTTATGGATCTTGCCTATGTTTATGCAGATAAATTTGAGGCCTTTATCAAGTTCTAGCCTTTCTTGGACTTACTTGCTTGGACTTCACAGCAGAAATTCACCGGCTTGTCAACCGCAGAAATTATTCTATTTCTCGTTCCTTCCTAGTCAATAAAGACTCTTTTGTACTTTTCCTCCTCGTTTTCCTCCATTCAACCACGAACACTGGTGGAAAATCTCGAAAGAAACTCCCCAATTTCACATATTTCCGTCATTTTTAGTTCGAAAAAGGAGAAAAACCCGTCTGGGTTCTAGTATGCGTCCAATTTCATCGATAGTTTTCGCCTTCTTGGCGGCTGCCCTGCTGCTAAGCCACTGCAAGGCAGCTGCTGAGTGGGTGACGTGCTCCGGCATTGTCCCGATGAGGTACCGGAATGATAAGATATCGATCACGGATTTTGGAGGAGTTGGAGATGGAAGGACATTGAACACCAAGGCATTTAGGGAGGCAATTTATCGAATTGAGCATTTGAGGAGGAGGGGTGGCACGCTTCTTTACATACCTCCTGGGGTGTACTTAACTGAGAGCTTTAATCTTACTAGCCACATGACTCTTTACTTGGCTCGAGGTGCTGTTATCAAAGCTGCCACGGTAATCCAACTGTTTTTTGGTTGCTATAGTTAGATACAGTTTTGAATATGATGGTGAACTTTTAATGCAATGATTAAGCTTCACTACCATAGTAGTAGTGTGGTACTTCTTTTGTCATGAAAATTTGAAAGAATTTGTGAAATGTGACATGCATATGCTTATGGGCTCATTATTCTGGTAGGTCCGTATAATGCGGACGGATCAATTTCGATTTCATGCGATTAAGGAAGGAATGATGGTCTGGTTTTAGACTTCAGATTAAATTAGGTTTGACCATGATCCAATTTGGAGCCCTGAACTTTTATTTTATGTAGGGAGGGAAAAGGGTGAGGAGCACGGAGCGGATTATTATTTTAGGTCAGAAAATTAGAGGGGCCAAACATGAGTCGCATTATGCGCGTCATTAGCTTAAATTAGTAGGACATGCATGAAAAGAAGGAACCTTTATTTTGTTATCAAAATGGTACTATTAAAAGACTAAGGATACACGTTAAGGATTACTTGTGGGCCTAGGATGATATAGATGTGGACAATTGTTCCCATGTGCATGGTTATTAAGATGTGGACAACCAAGCCAATCTGACACCTAAGCCAAAGTTTTTTTTTTTTTTTTTTTTAATTCTTCAAGATGGGATGTATATACTATATTGATATGTCCTTGCTGTTGGAGATATGGCATGATGCTACTTCAGTGTTCGTTAACATGGAAGATGATGACTATATACAGTACATAATATTGTTGCTGGTGAGACTGTAAAGCAACCAGCCTTAGCCAGTAGACCCAGGCCCTTTATTTAGTGATTCTGCTATTTCCTTACTGATGGCTGGTTCCAGTAAAATCCACCAGTTTTACTTAGTGGTGTTGTATCATCATACCCATTCAGTTAGTCTGGTGATTCGAATAGAGGCTTTCATTGACAAGATATTTTAGTTTTTAACTGAAAGTTGAAGTTAATAGTATTGGCACTTCAGGGGAAAGGGATATCATCTCCAGTATTATAATTTTAATAATAATTGGTGGTTCCTATTCTCCCTCAAGTTTGCTAACATTTTCGCTAATGCCTATGTCGTCCATATCATGATATACAGTGAAGGTTGTAGCGAAATCCTAAGCTATTATTAATAGTTCAGATCCGATTGCTAGTAGAAAGAATCTATGGATAGATTGTTCCTATTTTAAACAGTAATCCGTTTACATTAATACACACATTTGCTTTAATTGATACTTCAGGATACAAGATATTGGCCTTTAATTGCTCCCTTGCCTTCTTATGGAAGAGGAAGAGAACTACCTGGAGGAAGGTACATGAGCTTTATCCATGGGGATGGACTCCATGACGTGATAATCACTGGTTTGTTACTTTGTAAACCGTCTCTCTTGGTGATCAACTTCTTGGTGAAGATATATTATTTGTAATTACTCCTAGGTGGACATGTGTCTATTAATATTCACATATTAATGTTTGATGACAAAGATTACAGAGTGTCATTTTATTGGCGTTGGTATAACAAATTGTATTTTTCCTACCCTTATTTCTCAGTGCTGTTGGTACAATGAACTGCTTCCCTTTTAGGTGAGAATGGGACCATTGATGGGCAAGGTGAAATATGGTGGAACATGTGGAGGCGTAGGACCCTCCAATTTACTAGGCCAAATCTTATTGAGTTTATGAACTCCAGAGGCATAATTGTATCGAACGTCATCTTCAAGAACTCACCATTTTGGAACATCCATCCCGTGTATTGCAGGTAATATATCTTTGCTTAACCATGCATCCATTAGAGTAGCCACTTCTTATCATCTTTATGGCATCAAATCAAACTAAGAGGAGTTTCAATCATATTTTTAAGCTTGACCTTGCGCACAAAATAAGTTTCTTTTACAAGTCAAAAGAGTTTAGATCTTTTGAATAAAGGTCTCTAGAATAACTGCCTAAAGGTAAATTCTTTCTCTTTGTTTGCTATTTATGCGTTGTTTCTGTCCATAAGCACCTTAAATATGCTGAAAATGGAATCTGATACTTAACTGTGCAACTCTTAAGCTTTCCAAATTTGGTGGTTTGCTTGCAATAGAAGGTCTCGCTTTGACAATTAAATGAGATTATTTCTCTTTCGCGATCAACTCCATTATTTCAACTCTTTGAGGCATAAGGAGAAATAAGCCTAATGATCATTTCAGCAAAGAGTTTGCAACATGAAAATAGTGCAAATGTTATTAAATGATGTCCTGGACAGTAATAACAAAATGTGCATCTGATAGGATTCTGTTTCATCTGTTTGCAGCAATGTTGTTATTAACTATGTCACGATATTGGCTCCAGCTGATTCTCCAAATACTGATGGAATTGATCCAGGTACAGAATCCATTTCAGCAACAGTTGTTGTATAATGCCCCCTTTATTGGTGATGATGTTGATTAAAAGTTCCACTAATACACTTATAAGATTACATTGTTTTCATTATGTGCTAGTCTGCACCAAAATATTGAACATCAGGATCATTGCTGAAATTCTTATCTATCCTGCTGTTAGATGGCATCTTTTTAACAGCATAAGTTCCAGCCTTTGATTTCTAAAGTATGTATCTAGGAGACTATTCCCAATATGCTTGATCTTACATTCACAACTGTTATTGTAGTGTGAAAACCTAAAGAAACAAACAGCAGCAAAGATCTTTTGCTGACGCAATACCTTAATAGGATCTCAATTACAATAGTGAAAGAGTGCAAAATGTCGACTTGCCTCACATATAACTGTGAATTCCATCCTTGAAAATTTTTAATATGACAAAGCATGTTAAAACTTCTAATTCTTACATTTGAATTGCCTCTACAATAATTTTAACATGTTTCATAATCTTGATGTACTTAAAACAGATTCAAGCACCCATGTTTGCATTGAGGACTCGTACATTTCCACTGGAGATGACCTTGTGGCTGTGAAGAGTGGTTGGGACGAATATGGTATTGCTTATGGTCGCCCCAGCCATGGCATCACAATTAGGCGGGTAACTGGATCATCCCCATTTGCTGGAATTGCAATTGGAAGTGAAACCTCTGGAGGCATAGAGGATGTGTTAGCTGAGCACATAAACCTGTACAACATGGGAGTTGGCATCCATTTGAAGACAAACATTGGCCGGGGTGGCGTCATAAGGAACATCACAGTGTCAAATGTCTATATGCAAAATGCCAGGAAAGGGATAAAAATTGCAGGGGATGTAGGAGACCATCCTGACAACAATTACAACCCAAATGCTCTACCAGTTGTTAAGGATGTCACGATAAAGGACGTCTGGGGTGAGGGGGTTCTGCAGGCTGGGCAAATACAAGGTCTGAAGAACTCCCCATTCACGGGGATCTGCCTCTCCAACATCAACCTTCAGGGGAACGTAGGACCAAGAAATCCTCCATGGAAATGCTCTGATGTAAGTGGGGCTGCTGTTCAAGTTAGCCCCTGGCCATGTTCAGAGCTGACCAGCACCTATCAGGCTGGTTCTTGCTCTAATTCGTTCTAAGAACAATGTAACGTTTTTCATTTTTCAACTAAATATAGTATTCTTATGATTTGTTGTACACCTGCATATAAAGGTTAAACATCATCGACTGCCTAAAACTTTCTAATGAACATTAAACCATTTCTGTTGCATCCTTTCCTTGATACCTTTTCTTCATGCAACTCTTGTAATATTTGGGTGAACAAAATCAATTATCCTATGCCTTTTTTGGGTCCTCAAGTAGACTTCCATTCTTCTCTCTAGATAGTCCGCCTCTAATCGGAAACTCACTTATCATATTATAGATAGGACTTATTATTACAAGTCAAGCAGCAAATATGAAATGAAGTAGTAAATTACTAAATTTGTTTAACATGATCCTTCGAAATATATTTTTTTTTTGTTTAACATGAAGAGAGCAGGTCGTGAGCGGAAACCAAACAAAAATTGCAACTTTTGACATGAAAGCAGGGGCAGGCCATAACTCATATCACAATACAAACGCGGGCTGATGGCAGGAACTGGATAGATATCTTCAACAAGATCACGATTTGAAGGAACTAATGACTGAAAATCTGAGCAAAACGGACCCATCCTATCAGATTGATAAAGTGTGATTACAACATATGTTGCAGTAATACATATGCTTCGTGCCTTCCTTACATCTCAGACGGATGCAACTTATTTACAAATATGACAAAACAAACAACAAAATCACTACGATCAGCAGCGCCATACATGCATGCAAGCATGTAAACTCATCAGACAGACATCTACAAAAAACTTTTAACACTAGATCTTAGAAGCGATCCAAGAACTTGCGAATACGTTTCATAAAACTACCCTCTTCCTCTCTCTTTCCCACCCGCTTCTTCATTTCTTCATGATTATCCTCGTCCTCTTCCTCCTCATGATGGCGCAAGTGCTTCTTAAACTTCTCCTCACCAAACCTATGGCTATGCTTTGAAATAAACTTAGAAAACCCATCATCATCCTCCTCGTGATGGTCATCATGGTGGTGGTGATGGAACTTGACCAATTTCGCCGGGATCCGCCGCATGCGGCCGTGATGGAATATAAACGGATCCAACTCATTACTTTCGCCAGTGGACAATATCATATCATTTCCATATGGGACTTTCACGTGCTGTTGTTGTTGTTGTCCGATGGGCTTGAAAAAGGGGTGGTCATGGTGGTGGCGGTGGTGATGTCGGCAGTTGCGGAACCGAAAACTTGAACTGATGGGGAAGTGACGGTTGATCGGACGGAAAGTAGAGACCCTTAACGGAATAGATCCGACGGAGATGGATACAGATTCAGGGATGTCAACGGCGGGCTGATTAGAGCGAGATACATCATCGTTGACTCTGTCGCTGGGGAGATGAAGGACGGAGCTGGCGTCCGAGCCAGCGTGGGAGCGTGTAAGTTCAGGGTCGATGACATCACCCTCTGGGATATCTGATGGTACTCGGGCATGGGAAACTGTGACTAGAAAGAGGAGAACAAGTGTGAAAGTAAAGGCGACGGTGGCGGAGTATCGGGCCATAGATTGAACGGTAAGGCTCGTCGGAAAATCCAGCATGAAAGGTAGATATAGGATGCTTAGGGGCTAGGGGGGATACTGGGCAGTTTGGGCAATTAGTGGATGTTTGACGGTTTGGAGTGATTTTGGAGTTTGGAGAGTGGAAACTGGGCAACGGGCAACGGGGTTTACCGTACACGTGTTATAATCGTGATAGTTGAGTTCGGCTATGTGTCTGGTTTTCCATTACGATGTGAGCTCAATTCTTTTTTTTTTTTTTTTTTGAAAAATGGTTCATACAATTTTTTTACTTTTTGTCCACTACTTCAATAATTTTACCAATTACATGCCTCCTTAGATTGCACAAGTGTCTGGTTATCTTAGTTGAGATAATTGACTTTGAATACAACAAAACAAACATTTCGATTGGCTCCCCCTTTCACTCAGCCAATTGTCTTTCAACGAAAAAATTAGAATTAAATTATTTACCCTAAATTCCAGGTAAACCTCAAAAGCCGGTAACTCTTGAAACCACCCAAGGAACTAATAACCTAACCCTCAACCCCCTTTAATCCACCCAAGGAACTAATAACCTAACCCCCAACCCCCTTTAATCGATGTGAGATTCTTGTGATAAGACCAGGAGGCCTCTGCTATTAAAGGTGTACTAACTCCCAAGACACTCGAAAACACCCAAGGAATAACTCTTGAAACCACCCAAGGAACTAATAACCTAACCCTCAACCCCCTTTAATCGATGTGAGATTCTTGTGATAAGACCAGGAGGCCTCTGCTATTAAAGGTGTACTAACTCCCAAGACACTCGAAAACATCACCACTCGTACAATTGTCTGAGAAAGACCAACATGTACACAAGTAAAATAATCAGATCCATAATTTTACCTACATAATACTTTATGAAGAAAAACACCTGGCTACGGCACAAGCAAAAGTATCTAATGGTGAAGGCTTGGACTGATGTAGGTTTTGGACGCAGACTGCTGGTGTGTAACTTGTAAGCTTTGATTGGTGGGTGGCCTAGAGGAATGGCAACATGACGGGTTTAGGGCCCCATTGCCTACTAGTTGCCCCGCCCCTTATTCTAAGGTTGTAATTAATTAAATTAAATATTATATATATATATATATATATATATTAGCATGTGCATGGGGCGTGGGGGAAAAATTTTTCCCTCCCACCCCGTCCCGTGCCGCTCCGCTCCAACTCACTCTCGTTAACCTCCCATGGGGGTTCTCGTTTCAATTGTCATCTTTAATTGCCAGTGGCGAGGGGAAGACAAAACGCGAGACTGTGTAGGATGGACCAGCTGAGTAATAGTCGAATATAAATAGGTCTTTAACTAGGAAGTTGGTGAGTGTATTTAAAATGTTATCTAAATTAATTATTGTAACATTTTTTTGTGGTAAATTGTATGTGAGATAAAACAAAGTAATCAAAAATATAAAAAGGATAATTAAAAAATGTATTTATAATATAAATAAATATTATTTATTTATAAAAAAAACTGTATCCAGTTGCACCCACTGTATTTTTTTTCCTTCTTTTTTGCGCAAAAGAAGAAGGTTGATGACTTCATGTCAAGCGTAGCGAAGCGAAAGGAAATGAAGGGAAGGAAGGAAAGGAAATCTGGAAGATGTTTCCAAGTTTTTAGTACTTTTCGCTGGGATGCAATGGTGAATATTGCGCTTCAGTGTGGGCCAAAGCCCAAATGGAATAGTCAAAGTCCTGCGGAATGGCCCGAAGGCTTTTATATTAATCCCGACTCTTGCATGGATAGTAACCGAGGAAAAATAAGCTAATCCACTCTTTCATCTTCTTTGCTTATGTAGCTTACAATAGCCATAAGGAAAGAATAGGAGGAAGTGACTGTATAGGACTTGCTGTTTAACACTCTTATGCCCAGCTGGGCCTAGGCATACAGAATTCCTGGTCCTAGGCCATAGACATCTGACTTTTGCTTCTCTCTCTCTCTCTTATATCAATACGATAATTCATATTCTACACTAAAAGAATGGGTGCAGGAGTCAATGGACCTTTAGATCCGGAAGTTTCTGTTTTAGTCACTAGACTAATCCTATTTATATTATATGAGTTCTTACCTTATCCTTTTTCTTATCCTTATATGAGTTCCTACATTATTCTTATCTTATAGGGAGAGCAAACTCAATTGGACCTATATAATGGGTGAGTCGCCAGGCTAGATAAGACAATTTTTTTATCTAACAAAAATAATTTACACTATCCTATGCAGAGTGGAAGTTAAATTGAACCTGTATGGAGGATGAATCGCTAAATTAGACAAGTATAGATGAGAGCTCTAAAAGGCTCTTCTTAACCATCGGACCAAATTCAATGATTATATCAAGTGAAGACTTCGATGAATCCTATTTTTGGGTTAATCTCGTTCGTCCTATCGTTTTCTATTTTTTTTTTATCAAGACGATAACTATTGTATAATCTATTCTATCCTACATTAGAGGAGAGGGGGAACCTAAAGAGGCTTGTATTGGGGATTAGCAGGTATACAGACCTTACTAAATCAAAGGGGTGCTCTGGTACCACCATTGAATTTTTTTTACTACAGGTGAGAATTGAACCGTTGCCTACAACTCAAGGAAGGACTTAAGTCCCACTTGGTGGCCACTGAGCCACCAAGCTAAAGGAAAACATGAAAAAGTGCATGACATAGTCAATTTTTAACAAACCACTGGGCCAATGGCTCAATGGCCACCAGGGAGGAGCTTAAGTCCCTTCTTGGACCGAACCCTCACCTGCAGCGAAAAAAATCTAAGGGTTGTGTCATAACATTCTCTTGATCTAGTTGGATCTGTATATCCACTAGCCCCCTACCACAGTCTCCTTTAGCTCTCCTCCCCCTAGATTAGGATAGGATAGGTTATACAAATATATCGTTGCTGACAAAAAAAAAGGTCAATTTTTAACAGATGCAGCATATGTGTCCATCGTTCCTGAAGGTTCACGGCCACGATGTGGCCTCAAAAATTTGTGAGGCTCAAATTACAGCATGTAACTCGATTTTCACGTCATGTGTGGAGCCCACAAAAATTTGTTTTGAAGTTACTCTGTGTATAAAAAAAAGTTACGCGACGTGCAAAAAATATTACACGCTGTTGAAAAATGTACAAACCATCACAAACGGTTGCACCTGCCCCTTGTCCGTGTCCATTGGTGAATGTTGAGTACCTCACCTACGTGTGGGTCAGAACTCTGATGATGGACTTGACTGACTGACCATTTTTCATTTTGTGGGAAAAAGAAAAGGAGAGAAATTAATCAATCGTCAATCGACACATGGGAGGACCACGGCACCATGTGACTGAGGAAGCTGTCAGTGGATACACGTGTGCTTTAATGACCTTGTTATCACCGCTCAGACGGTACGGCCAGTCGGCCAACCTCTCCCGGCCGGCCCCCCACCCCCCTCCGCTAACTGCCTTCGTTTCTGACCTCTAGATCCCGCAATCAAGAATCTGAGCAATTTTCAGCTTGTAGTTTTTAATTTCTTGTCTCTCTTTGATTGGTACATTAGCAATAGCAATGGGACTTTAACAAAAATTTATACTAATGAATAACAATGAAAGTAATGTCGAT